GGGGGACAGGGGAGCATGGAGTCAGTCAGAAGGGTGGCCGCGGTCGGGGCATGGTCGCACGGGCCAAAGCGCACCAGGTCGTCGATGATGCCACCGTTCTCGTTGGTGAAGACGGTCAGCGCGGCGCTGCCGTTGTCATCGAGCGAGGACAGGTCGGCCACAGTGAGCCCCTCGAGGAAGCGCTCGCGGTCGTTGCCGTGCAGCCTGTCGTGCGATGTTGGCAATGTACGGGTCAGACATCCGGGTCGGGGGCCAACAGCACTGGGCTGGGCTGCATGTGCATTTGGCTGGGCAATCGGCGTGCTTGCGGGGGGGGGGGGGGGGGGGGGGAGGCGGGGCGTGTGCGCGCGGACGTACTCGAACTGCAGCATGTGCGACACGTCGAACACCGAGGCGGCGGTGCGGGTGTGCACGTGCGACGCGCCAATCGGCAGGTCAGCATACTGGACCGGCATGGACCACCCGGCGAAGGGGACCATCTTGGCGCTGAGAGAACCGGCGTTCGGACACTTGTCAGTGGACATATGGGGGGGGGGGGGGGGGGGGGGGGGGTGGACAGGGCGGGTGAGGAAAACAGGCGGCCCGACACGCACCCCTTCTCGACGTGGAAGTCGTAAAGCGGGGTCTTCTTGATGGTCTCGGCCTCGGAGGCCAGGGCGCGCATGGCCGCCGGCGAGGCAGCAACGGCGCGCGGGGCGCCGGGGCGGACGAGGCCGCGAGCGGCCGAGCGAAGGGCAGTCTGCATAGTTTGAGGGAGGGCGGGGGAGAGGGGGCAAAAGGGGGCTCCAAGTATACGACCTGGTAGTGTGGCTAGTGCCTGGCAGGGGCCCTGGGCCCGTCGATCTCGCTGGCCGAAGAGCCGGCCCTGCGAGCCGGCCGGCGTCCTCGGCCCGTCTTTGGGGTGGGCGGGCGCCTCAGCCGGACCCTTGACGCCGGTTCGCGCTGGCAGCGTCCCTTGCTCGCCCGCCCATCCTCCTTCCCTCCTTGCCTCTCTCTCTCTCTCTCTCTCTCTCTGAGGCTTTCCCACTCACTCCTCCCCCTGTTGCTCACCCTCCCCTGTCCCTGGCCAGCCCGGATCGGAGCGAGAGAGAGAGAGAGAGAGAGAGAGAGAGAGAGAGAGAGAGAGAGAGAGAGAGAGAGACAGACGCACACACACCGAGCCGCAGGGTAATCGGGCGGCCCGATAGGAAAGGGGGCCGTGGCCGGGCGCGGCGGCGCCTCTCCCCGCTTATGGGCCCCGTCGCGCCCCTGCGGTCGGCTGCCCGGCTAGCGCCGCCAACACCACGGGCGCTGGAGCGTCGGCACCCCGGTCTGGAACGAAGATTATTCCGACGCTCGCGTGATCGGGAAATGATGGTCCATTTAACCGAGCGGACGAGGAGCTGCCGGCGCTTCCCGAGGGCCGCGCCCAGGGCCCCACGCACCTGCGACCGCATCTGAAAAGGGCCCACGATGGCATGCCAGCGGCCGTGTGTGCGTGTCCAAAAGCAGATCCCGCCCGATCATCCTGCCCCCTCTCCCCGATCTTCCCCCTCCCCCTCCTCGCCCCTCTGTCCCCTCCCTATCACCATGGATCTCCGGCATGCCGTGGCTGACAAGACCGGCAAGGGTGTGCACGCCCCCTCCCCCCCCTCCCTCCTCCTCCTCTCCCTCACCGCCGTCTTTTTCGTGGCTCTTGGTTCTCTTCCCCGCCCCCCTCCCCCCTCCCTGTTGACCCTGCATTCCTGACCCCTTCCCCTCTCTCCCCTCCCAATCCCGGGGGACCGGCCACCAGTCATTCGCTGCCCCTTCTGCGAGCTGAACATCTTCGTCAACCGCAAGTACACCCAGGACCCGTGGATGTTCACCAAGCTCCATATCGAGGAGGGCCTCAACTAGTGCGCATGTGTACCCTTGCCTCGATGGGGTTGGGATTCCCCGCCACCAGGCCGCTGACACCTTCTGCTCCGACTCCCCCTTGGCCCCTGCGCTGCCGCTGAGCAGTCGCATGACGCGCCAGTTCCATGGCTTGAGCAGTCTCGTTGGCGCCTTCCTCTTTGGTGGCGCGTACGGGTACTTCTCGTACCAGGGCATCCTCACCAAGGCGCAGAAACTCCTTCCTCGGGGTGCGTATCCGGCCTAGGCCGAGGGGGCAGCAGGCCGTTTTCCCCCCTTGCCATCCTTTCCTCTTCCCCTCCCCCTGCCCCCTCCCCCCCCCCCTGTGGGCCGCCGCCATTGTACATCCTGGGCCCGCTGCTGACCGTTTCTCGTTGCCCAGCGCACCCGGCCATTCGCCATGTTCTGGCGTATGGCCCGACGGTTTCCGGGGCGGCCTTCTTCGCCGGTGTCGGGTTTGCCTTCCTCCCGATGTTCACGGAGATGACGCCGACGCTGTTCACCGTGGCCGAGGCCACCACGCGTGGTCTCATGACCGACGCCAAGCGGTGGCTTTTCAAGCGGGAATACGCCCTTCAGCAGCAGCAGCAGCAACAGCAGCCGCAGCTGCCCCCGGTCGGCAGCCATGCGGCCACGTCCTCCGGGGCCAGCTGTGCTCACTGCCCGCATTCGGCCGGGGCCGCCCCGGGCACTCCCTCGGTGGCGGCGAGCATGCCGCCATCCACCACCGGCACCCAGGCCGAGTAGGCCGGTGCTCGCTGGGGCGCCCTCTCGCCATCTCCCCCTCCGCCTCGCATACTCCCTGCCTCGTGTCCGGGGCGCCAGCCTCTGCCATCTCCCTCAATCTGCTGTTGCCCCACCCTCTGGACGGCCATGCGGCCGCGAGAATGCCTGCCAATATGGGAGCGAGGAAGAGACAAGGGGGGGGGGGGGAGGTGTGGGTCCGACGGGCCCTCCTCTCCCCTCTCCTTTCTTCCGGTGGTCCCGCCTTCTGTCAAAATACACCGAAACACAAAAGCACGACTCGGGATTTGCTCGGCCCCCTCCCCGGCTGGCCCCGGCCCATTGCCGTCCCCATGTGCGGCCTGCCTGGACGAACAGCGGGCGGGCGGAGGAGTACCGCGCGAGGCCAGGAGTCAGAGGATTAGGGTTAAATAAATCGCTGGTGGTCCCCCCCCCCCAGGGCCGGCCCGGAAAAGTCAGGCGGCCGACGGCAATCCATCCGAACGGCGTCGCGGCATTATCCCGCCCCTCTTTCGGGACCCTCCCCCTCTCCCCGCCGGCAGCGGACTCGCACTGGATCCCTCTCGGCCGCAGGGAAGCATGCCGCGGGCACGACAGCAACATATGACTGGCGGGAAGACGGGCAGACACACACACACACACACACGCGCGCGCGCTCGGGCGCGGGGGCAGAAAAAAACACGTTTCGCCTGGCGGGGCGGGGTGGAAAATAATGCACCGGCGACAGGATTTGAACCTGTGCGGGCAGAGCCCATCTGATTTCGAGTCAGACTCCTTAACCACTCGGACACACCGGTTGCAGATAAAGTTGGAGCAATGGAGGATCGAACTCCAGACCCCCTGCATGCAAAGCAGGTGCTCTACCACTGAGCTATTACCCCATCTACGGGAAAGAGAGGCAGAATTTGGTCCTAAAGACCCGTCGCATTTGAGCGGGGACCGACAATTGGGAGCTCCGCACAGGGCCCCGGTAATTCCCCCCACCCCCCCCATCGACCGGCCCCGCCCGGGACAGGGCGGCGGACGGATCTACCACAGACAACACCCTGCATGTGCCCCCCCCACTCAGAAGAGAGCCCGCTGCAGCCTGCGGACCCCGGCCTGAGGCCCCAAGGGGCGCCACCCTGGCCGGGGCCCGCTGCCCCCCGATCAATCCGATACACGCCTCCTGGGTTTAGCGCAGCTGTGCATTCTCCCCCCCTCCCCCTGCCTGGCTCCCCTCCTCCTCCCCCCGCTGCCGCTGTCGCCTCCCTGCCCTCCTCCTCCTCCCCGGCCTCGCGTCCTCCTCTGGTCCCTCCCCTCCCGCGCCCCGAGAAGGAGACACTCGTTGCGTCCCCAGGCGATGGACCCATCCGGTGCTCCGCCGGCCGTCATCGCGGCCCCCCCGGCCGAGATCCCCATTCCTCACAGCTGCCGGTCGATCGCGGTCCCGGCCCTGGTGCATCAGCTTCTTTTCCCCTCGGCCCTGGGCCACGGGGTGCGCGTGATCGGCATGTACGCTCCTTTCTCCGCCCCTCCATGCCCGGCCGTGCCGGGCCGGGAGATTCCATGCGCCCCCATACGGCCCCTTGGCCCGTGTGCCAACACACTCCGGAGCATGCGGACTAACAAGCAGCCTCCTACCACCGGGCTCCCGGTCCTCGACGCGGGCAGCCTCATCGCCGATGGGGGGCACTTCTTTTTGGAGGAGATCCCACTGTACCGGGGCCAGCCGTGCCCGGCCACGCTCGGCCACGCCGACGGCGCGGTCGAATTTCGCATCACCCGCCGGAAGGAGCTCCCCTCCTCGAAGATCGCCCTGGATCTGAGTCGCATTGACGGGCGCATGCCAGCCTGGGTCCCGACCGCCCTCGGGGGGCCGTTGGTTCAGGTGATTGGCATCGTCACCGAGGACCGGCCCCCAGCCGATGCGCCCCTCCTGGCCTCCAAGAAGCCGGAGCGCCTCCTTTCCGCGCGCATTGTTCGCCACATTGGCCCTGGGGTTGATGACGCCGATCGCGAGGGGGAGGAGACCGGCGCGGATGCCCTCCCCGTCGACCTTCACATCTGGCATCGGACAGTCCGCCTGCGGCAGGAGCTCCTCGGGAACCCCTTCACACCTTGAGGGGAAGCAAGGGCCCGACAACCCGATCAAGCTGCGCCGTGTCAGACCTCGCCTCCTTGAGGGCAGGGCCGGGAGGGCCAGTGTTGTTGACTGCCGGCTTGCCCTATTCACTCTCCTTCTCCTCCCTTTTCCTCCCCCCCCCCTCCCCAACCTATTTGCCCACACCGACCATGCTCACACTCCGCTGCCACTGCCGCACCAACCCGAGCTCCAATAGATCTGGCTACCGCTGCCTCGCACTGCCGGGGCCCTGTCCACCGACCCCGTCTGCCTCGGCGCGGCAACCACGACATGTGCCAGGGATGGGATCAAGTGAAAAGGAATATGCAGGCTGGCATTCACAAGGACGGGGAAAGGGAAGCGGGGCGTTGCGACAACAGGAGGCAAAGGGGGGCGAAGGACCAGTCTACTCCGGCTTGGTGACCACGTCGGCCTGGTGCTTCTTGCTGCTGGCCGGCTCGCCGGACTCGGCATCCGGGTGGGGGCGCTTGCCGGCGACCGGAGCCGCGGCATCCACCTCGGGACCGGCCGGCTGGCGCAGGGCCACGGCTGGCGGCAGGACAAACGACGCGCAGTACATGTCCTTGTTGGGGGCCACGCTGCGGACGTTGTGCACGTGCACCGTGCCGACGGCCGGGCGCGGCAGGTCGGTCCCCGGAGACCCGGGCACCGCCAGGTGGTCTGGCATCTTGGCGGCATTGCCGCGCGGGGCGGGCGGGGTGGCCGACGCCGCCGCCCCGGCCGGGGCCTCCTGCAGGAACCAGTTCCGGTCGGCCACCACCAGATTCAGGGTCGACGAGGGGGCCAGGGTCATCGACGCGCCGAGAACCGTGCCCACGCGCCCGGCCACGGCCTTGGCCGCGGCCACCTCGCCATCGTGGATGAACTCAAAGCAGTGCACATGGATCATGGGCATCTGGTCGGCGATGGCCGCCAGCGCGGCCGCCGTGGCCGGCGACCCCATGTCCGGGTCTTGGTCCAGCTGCTCAGCCAGCTCCGGATACTCCGCGCGGTAGAGGCCGACAAAGGCGTCTGTCGTTGTTCCGAGCCATGGTGAGGAGCAGCAGCAGCAGCAGCAGCAGCAGCAGCAGCAATGGCAATCCGATAGAAGAGGAAAAATAGGCCCACGAGGGGGTGCCGAAAGGGAAAAAAATCATGATCAGCATCGAGCAGAGGAGGATATACAGATGCCGGCGTGGCGAGGGAGAGAGGGAGGGAGAGTCTGCGGCGCGAAGGATCAAGGGGGAGGAGAAAAAACGCACCCAGGAACTCGATGGCGATCGCCGGCAGGTTCATCACGAAGTGGTCCACCACCCGAGGCGACGGAACCACCGGGGCCTTGTGGTCCAGGCCGAAGCGAGTGATGAAGGGAGTCGACTGGGTCAGACGGACGGCCGGCCGCGAGGCCACCACACTGCCAGTGTCGGCCAAGCGCCGGGCCTTGAGGGCGCGAGCCTCGGCCAGCCCTCGGCGAATCATCTCCCGGCCGTCCAGATTGTAGGGGGTGACATATTTGCCAACCTACGATGCAGACCAATTTGACGGGCCATTAGCACACAGATCGAGGACAGAACAACAAGCGGTCCATGGCGAAAAGGGGGGAGCCGGGGAGAGGGGCACAAAAGAAGGGTCCCGGTCACAAAACGCACATTGTTCCGGCGAATGTTTTCCACCAGGAACTCGTGGCTCGAAGGGTTCAGGTCATTGGCCAGGACGAGGTTCACATGGCGGTGCGCGGCGGCCGGCACGGCGAAGGGCCCGACGCCGGCCATCACATCAATAACCGTGTCGCCGCGGTCGAAGCACAGCTGCAGGCGCTCGTGCTCCCGGTGCAGCTTCGAGTTCCAGTACACCCGGCTGAAGTCGAACTTGAAGGTACAACCATTCTCACGCTGGAGCAGGTGGCCAGGGTTAGAACCGACACATGCGCGGCACGAACACCAGCCCGGCACATATGTGTGCACACACACACACACACACACACACACACACACATACACACACACATACACACACACACACATACACACACACACACATACACCCTCCCTGCCCTCCCTCGATGGCCTGAGAGGCAGGAAAAGCGAAAACACGCCGACACGCACCACGACAGCATTCAGGTCATCCTTGCCGGCCAGCACCTCCATCTTGAAGAAGCGGAATTGATGCTCAATTGTGTCGATCTTGTTGACCACGGTCGAAATGTTGTGGCAGTTTTTCTTTGGAAAATGGAGGGAGCGTCAGTATCGCAGTCTTACAGATGACAGGTGGCCAGCAACAGGTAAGACAGAGAGGGAGAGGGAGGGGGGGGGGGGCGAGATCGGAAGCGAGACACACATCGAGGATCACTTGGCCGATGAACTCCCGGTACGGCAGGTGCGGGTCACGAAGGTTCAAATGGGCTGCCAGGCGGCGGGTTGACATTGCCCGAGGGGGGGAGGAGAGAAGGCGTGAAAGGTCAACATCGCGGACATTCCGAGAGCAAGGGGGAGGGGGCACATGGGGGGGGGGGGGGGAAGCATACCGATGTGCCCGATGGTCTCAAAACCGGACACATTCGGCAGGCCATCTGGCAGAGCCGAGTCAAAGATCTGGTCCACAGTCCAGTAGTTGTAATCCAGGCACAGCTGGAAGTCCTCGATCCAGGCACAGGCACTGCTTCCCTCCTCCTCGGTGAGGAGTCCGGCGGGCAGATCCTCCCGACGGACACCCGGCTTCAGGAGCAGCATGCGCAGGGACTTCTTGGCCTCCTCAGACACCTGGTCCACCGAGTCGGGCACTGGCATGATGGGCTTGATCCGCGGCGCGGAGAGAAGCATCCTAGCAGCGCAGGGGGGGGGGGCCAAGCAGGAGATACCGACGGGTAGGGAGGAGGAGGGGGGGGGGGAGGGTGGAGGGGGGGCGGGGGGAGGGGGGGGGGGGGGAGGGGGAGGGGGGGGGGGGGGGGGGGGGGGGGGGGTGGCAAAAGGACCAGGAAGAACACATACCCGGACATCTCTTTCAGGAAGCGGCCACATTGGTTGGCGGCCACCCGCAGCGCGGGGGTGGTGAAGGTAGTCTGGAAGAGGGACCGGTCAAAGTCGCGCACAAGCGCAACCTTGGGGAAGAGCCGCGGCAGTGCGGGCAGCATCTTGATTGTGGCGAGAAGAGGACGAAGGGAGGCTTCGAGGAAGGACCGGCAGAGAGGGCAGGAGGGAAGGCAGGAGGGAGGGCGGGGGGGGGGGGGAGTGTGCGCGGGGCTGAGACCCCCCACAACGAGCACCCACCAGGGGTCCGCCTTGGACTGGCGCGCCCGGGCCGACGGCACGATCTAACACGCCAACCATCGGGCCCGCCACACCCCGGGCGAAGGGCCGGGGATGGTTGAGAACGGCCGGTCTAAACACGCGGCACATGGCGCACCGGGCGTGCACCAGAACACCAGCCAGAACCGGGCGGGCTCCGGGGGCAGCTGCTCTGGCAGCAACCGAGATAATGGGAGGTGCCAGCGCTTCGGGCGACGCTCAGCTCCCAGCGGAGGGCGGCCAGGGAAGGGGAGCGCCCCAAGAAAGGGTGGAACACGAGTTTTCCCCAGTTTGCTCCTAATGCCCCCCCCCCCCCTCGCACACACACACACACACACACACACACACACACGCACACACTAGTCCTCCTGCTGCGCGCCCGACGAGCACGGTGGACGGACAGCAGGCGGGCCCGGGTGGCGGCGGCGGCGGCGGCGGCGGCATAGATTATTCACACCGTGTCAGAGATGGGAGATGCTCCTCAGGCCCCCGCCGGGCTCCAGTCGGATGTGAGCCCGCCCCACCGGAAGGGGGAAAAGTGGGGGCCCTTATCGGGCGCATATGTCCGTGGATGGCTGCTCTGTAGTGCCTCCTTCACGCCCTCTTCCCTCATTCTCTCCTGTTGCCCGCCCGCCTCCACTCCGATATTCACGCGCGTGCGCGCGCATACATACACACATACACACATACACACACACACACACACGCGCGCTCCCCCCTTTTCTCCGCAGGGCTCCCCCTCTGCCACTTCCTTGTACGCGTTCACGAGCGCACGCCCACACGCAACGATGCCGCTTGGCAGCTGACCAGCGATGCGCGAACGCGCACGCGCCCTTCCCCCTCCCCCCTCTCCCCGCCCCCCTCTCGCCTAGAAAAACGCCCCCATGCCTCCCGCTCGGCGCCTCTCGGCCTTCGGATCGGACTCCGACGATGACGATAGCGACCACCATGCCGGGGCCGGTGACACCCTCTTCGGGCTGGACGCCGGCGCCAGCGGGCCGCCTGCTGATGCGGCCAATGCCGGCGATGCGGAGGCCGATGTGCCGGAGGAAGACCCTCTGGATGCGTTCATGAGGCAAAATGAGGCCGCTCTCACGTCCTCCAAGCCGCCGCCGCTGCCGCCCCGGCGCGGCCGGTCACTCCTGGATAGTGACACCGACGGCGAGGGAGGCCCCCCGGAAGGGGGGGATCCCCAGTCGACGAATGTCCGGTCGGACGCGAACAACAGCGAGGAGGAGGAGGACCCGTTGGATGCCTTCATGAAAGCCAACGACGCGAATTTGGCCTCGGCCTTTTCCAACACCCGCGGGACATTGATGGACGATCTGTCGGTCCGCGGGGGCAGCGGCGGCCCGGGCCCGGCAGCCAAGAAGCGCCGCACCGGGTCTCACGCTGATCAGGCAAATGACTTCCTGCAGGATGACAGCGAGCTGGAGCGCGAGCTGGCCGCCGAGCGCGGGGCTCTTCGCCGGGCAGACAATGTCGATCGGCTGTGTGACATCGAGTCGCCGGAGGATCTGCCCACCGGCGGGCCCCCCGGCCCTGGCAAGCGCGATGTTTTGCCCTTGCCGCCGCCGCCGGACTTCAGTCGGTTTGCCTTCAGCCCGCTGGTCCGGCGGTTGCTGCCTGAAGGCCATGCAACCCTGCGGCAGGCGGCCGACGCCTCGACCGGCGCCGATGCCGCGGCTGGCCCGGGCACCGGGCCCATTCCCTCCCGGCGGACATTCTTCCAGGCGGCTGTCGAAGCGGCCGGGGCCATGTGCCACATGCGGACGGCCGTTTCACGCGGGCAGACCCCGGACATTGAGGCCGGCCGGCTGCCGATGCCGATTACGCGCTTTGCCGAAGTCCTGCCAGGGGCACTTGGCCAGGAGCTGGACCGGCGCTTCCCGGCCCCCGGCGGGCCGAGCCCCGTGCAAGCGGTCACCATCCCCTGTGCGCTGACCGGGCGCGATGTCGTGGCCCTGGCACAAACTGGCAGCGGCAAGACCATTGCCTACCTGGCCCCGGCGGTGGCTCACTGTCTGGCCAATCCGCTGGGCCCGGCGTCGGCCAAGGGCACCGGTGCTGGGCCCCCCCCGGGGGGCGACGACTCCGACTCCGACTCCGAAGACACCACCTTGGCCTTCAGCGAGGCCGCCGCCAATACTGGCCGCACGTCGCACCCCCGGTGCATCATCCTGGTCCCGACACGCGAGTTGGTCATCCAAATTCAGGCCGAGGCCGCGCGCCTGGCCGGCACGATGGGCCTGCACTCGGTGGCCATCTATGGTGGCGCGGAGAAGCTGGCCCAGTTGCGCACCCTGCGCCGGCTGCGTCCTGCCCTGGTTGTGGCCACCCCCGGGCGACTGATTGACATGGTCCGCATGAAGGCCCTTGGCTTGGCGCACGTGTCGCTCATTGTCCTGGACGAGGCGGATCGCATGCTGGATTTGGGCTTCGAGCCGCAGGTCCGGTCGGTGTGTCAACACGCCCGTCCGGACCGGCAGATGCTCCTGCTGTCGGCCACGGCCGGTGGTCGGCATGTGGCCCGCCTGGTTCGGGATCTGGTTGGAGCAGATGCGGTGCATGTGGCCGTGTCGGCCACCGGGGCCGACGGTGCCGCCGGCGCCCTGGCGGCCCCCAGCACGGATGGCTTGTTTTTGGACTTGAATGCCGACGCCCCGGAAACCGACCGCATGGCCCTTTCCACGTCGGATATCAAGCATAGCGTGGCTTGCTTCGACTCGGACCTGGCCAAGTTTGACTACTTCCTGCATACGCTCATGCCGTTCCTCATGTCGGAGGCCAGCTCGCTGGACCTGTATGCCATGCAGCAGCGGCAGCCGCAGCAGGCGCCCCTGGACCAATCCCAGCCGCCTGGCGTGGATTTTGGTACGCTCAACCTGATTGACCGTCGCG